CCATCACAAAAAAATTGGTCCAAGGTTACTTCAACAGAACTTCCCTCGCCCTTGAAGTACCTACAATCCAACAAATTACGCTTCATTGAAAAATTACAGAAAATTTGTGTTTTGTGATAACCTTTATATGTATAGTAACCAGTGGTGTAAATGACACCTCGAACCCGCTGCGCCACGGGGGTACAAATTCCAGTACAAACTGCAGTTTTACAGACAATATGAAATGTATTCAAAGCAAATAACCAACGGAAAAGAGTGTATTATTATCAGTGTACATGCTTAACTTCGTTTGTTTATGTTTATTTATCGAAAGAAAGTCACGCAGAAATTTGTTTAATTTGAATGAATTGTCTCCTCAAAACAGAAGACTAAAATGAATCTGGGTTTTGCAATTATGGGGCGGAGCCTAATTGCAAAAACGGATATTTCCTTATACAAATTTTCCATTTTAAGCTTCATGTTGTGAAAAGAAGTCTACACATATTAAAATAAAAAGACAATATGTAAACCCACCCACCCACCCTATCTCAATTGTGATGATTTTTTTTCATTCGCCCTGAACCAGAGGGACTCAGCTTAACTGCAAAATAATTATTTCTCTACAATAAATTAAAAACATGTTTTTGAGCATCGTTTTGTTCAAAGAATACTACGCATATTAAGAAAAAAAGGCGAAATATAAACCCCGCCCACCCACCCCATCTTAATTGTGACGATTTTTTTTTAACTTAAAACACGTTTAAAATGGTAAATTTTTGTAAAGAAATATGGATTTTGCAATTAAGCTCCACCCCTACGTCTCCGAACGAATGATCAGGACAGTTATGGGTGGGGCTTAATCTTTGGCTTTAATTTTTTCTTAATGTAGATACATAGTATTCTTTTGATAACACGATACTCAAAAAAATTTCTTACATGGTAATTTCTTTTAGACAGAGAAGTAATAAGAATTTTGCATTTAAATTCCACTCCTTTGGTTCTCGACGATTATAAAACGATTATCACAATTGAGATAGGACGGGTGGGCGGGGCTTATATTTGCCTTTTTTCTTAATATACGTAGGTACTTGTCTTTTCAGAACAAGAAACTTAAAATATGTTTGAAATGGTAAATTCTTGAAGACAAATATCGATCTTGCAATTAAGCTCCACCCCTCGATCTGACAACGAATGAAAAATTCATCACAATTGAGAATTGAGATCGGGGCGGGCCTAATCTTCGGATTTATTTTTTTGTTAATATACATAGTATTCTTTGAACAACACGATATTCAAAAACATGTTTTTAATTTCTCGCTGCAGTTAAACCTCGTCCCCTTGGGTCACGACGAATAAAAAAATCATTACAATTGAGATCGGGCGGGTGGGCGGGGCTACATTTTGCCTTTTTTTCTTAGTATATGTAGACTTATTTCGACAACAAGAAATTTAAAACATGTCTAAAATGGTAAATTTTTGTAGTAATCAACTTAAATCCTCTACTTTTCTTCTACAACCCCTTTAAATACGGCAAAAGTTGAACAACAAAGTTATTATCAACAGCAACTTGGCAAAGGAGTTTAGAAAATGACAATTTTCTAAAAGCAACGTCAGCGGGAACAGCAACTGCAACGGTAAGTATATAAATCCCACTGTTAACGTCATCAAAAAAAGATGTTCATTTTGGAAATTTTACGACTGTCTAAAATTTTATTTAACCATTTGTTTCGGTGGCTTAGCTTTTCAAAATTGAAATTGATTAAATCGTACTTAAGGTCCACAATGAGCTAAGCGCGACTAAACAATATTTCCATTTTATCAAGTGAAAAAAAGAGGAAAGTAAATTTTGATAACCTTCTAGAATATTTTGCCAAAGTAAAGACCCGTAGGCACGTTTAGTATGTTGTTTTATTATGTGGGGGAGTGCTCAATAGAAAATCGCCCTGGGTGCCAAACTCGCTGCGCCGCCACTGGACGTGGGTATTCTCACATTTTATGGAAAATGAAATCAATAAAAATTGGTCGACGGTTATAAGTATAATCCACCAAATCAAACTCTTTAAAAAATTATAAAATTTGATTTTACGCCTTTCGTTTTGTGATAACCACTGTAGAGTAAAAACCAGAGGCATAAATAACACCCCTTGCCCTTCAACACGAGGTAACAGCAATCTGAAGCTCAAGTGTTTATTTCTGTTTATACATCGAAAGAATGTCACGTAGAAATTAGTTTCATGTGAATGAGTTTGTCTCCCCAAAACAATTAAACCACAATCGAACAAAATTTTCTGAATATTATAATTCTTATTTTATCATTATTTTGTAAAGATGTGGGTATTCTTCACATTTTCGAGAAAATGGGGCGACTCGTTTTTAATTTGACCAATAAAAAAATTGTGATGACGTCATCAACATGGATAATTTTAGGCACAGCACAAAAGAAAAGGAGTCACAGCGTTATACCAATGCAAGAAAAAAAAAAAGGCCCACTGGGTCATGGAGACGTACAAACCGTGTTGGGAATAAAACGTTATTATACCTTGCAAATGTTTTTGCGAAAATTGAACGTTTAGCGAAAAAACTAAAAGTGGATTCGTACACTACAAGTATATAACTATATTTTTGCTTAACATTCAAATCATTTTAAAATATTATTCATTGAAATGACGTCATAAAATTGTTTGGTTACGCTTGGGAAGTAAATATTTATTAAATGTTTAATATGAAATTCTCCGAAAGCCCCACTACAGTCTCCGCTATGCCCTACTTTTAAAATCATAGTTCAATAGTGTGCATCGTCTCACTATTCGTACCAAAAAGCTGATAACGTTATCTCAAAAAGTAATAAGCAAATATTCATTAAAAAATTACTTTATCATTATCTCAAAAACTGTTCATCTAATTTCTTCGAAAGTTCGAAAATAAAGTAAGCTGCAGCTAAAGTTGTATATTATTTATACCTTCGTAAACTCTATGACGTCATCTGAAGAAATTAACAAATATATATTCACTGAAAAATTGCAGTTATTTTTTTTCTAAAGTTCGTCTGATTATAGAAAATTAGTGTATGAACCAGTTTATTTTATCGATTATCTTAGCAACAAATGAACTAATTTCCTTAAAAATTTGAAAACATAGGAACGTTATTGGCATTGATGTATTAAGAATATGAATTTTTTAACCACATCAAAAAGTTAATGACGTTTGTTTTCAAATATCAAAAACTTACTTTTGTATCCTTGACCTTGTTTTGTCCAATATTTTTAAAATAAAAAATGTCAAAGGCGCCGTTGGCAAACGGAATCTTTCTCATATTTACATGAACTCTATTTTTATCGAAAATCGTTATGAAACCTGACGATACCAACTTTTTTCTTAGTAGAAGATCAAATCACCACGTCTTGATTTTTATCAGATCTCCAAAACCACTTCCATGATCAATTATTTTTCTGTATGGTCGCCTAAAAAACGTTCTGTGTATTGGCAAAGAGAACTTTTTAAGCCTCAGTTGACTTGTAGGTCTCGACCTCAAACTTCAGATCAGCCGAAAAAAATCTTCTTTATGGCCTTGATACACAAATAAATATTTTAAGAGCATGTCTCTTCTCAACAAATTATACAGTGAAGGCTATATGTCCAACATTTTTTAAATATCGGAACGATTTATGTTGAAAAATAAACTGCAATTAATAAACTGATAAAAATGCTTTGACACGTAATATTTTTCATATTATATGGGCTGTGAAAGTCATTTTCTCAATGGTTTTACGACTTGTCCAATTATATTTATATATATATTATTGTTGCTTTTGTCATCAAAAAAGTGACAGTAACTTCAGAAATCATCAAAATTTGACAGAAAACGTAACCTTTCGAAAAATATATATTTTAACAGTTCAAGTATGTAAACTTGATGCATTTTCTGTATGATTTTTTTTCATATATCTTTAACAAGTTATCAAACAACAAAAAGTTACTGTTACAATGTAAACAGTTACATAATTATTCTTGTACAGTATGTTCTTGGCAAACATACATTTAAATGCAAACATTTTTCATAGCAACACTCCATTTAAAAAAGTGCTTAAATTGTTGTTAAAACATTGTTTTGTGTGTTTGCATTATACACATTCTTCTAACTTCCATAAAGTGTGTTTTCAATAATCAGACTTATTGACGTCAAAAACTGTTTATTTTTTCCCAGGAAGTAAAAACAATCTTCATTTAAAAAAATAAAACAAGCTAATGATTGAAAATATTTACGCATTTGTTACAATTTAACATTTTCTTTAAAATTTCAATGTTAGTTCAACGTCTATAAAATTTCTGTCTTTTAAAACACTGCAGTGACATGGAAAATGGTAAAAACGTGAAAGTGACATTAAAAATAAGTTATAAAGTTGCTGTTCTTTACGACCTCAGTATAAGGCGCAGCCACTAATAAACAACGCCAGTGAACACTAGTCGTTCGATTGTTTTGTTTAATGCACGAACTTGTACCTTAGAGATGGAAGTAGAATTCCAAATTTTAGCTTAAACTGTTAAGTTACATCGTACGCACAACAAAACAGTCGAACATCCAATTTCTACTTGACGTCGTCCTTTTGTTTCAATATTTGTGTAACGTAAATATTACACCTTTGTGTGAGCTACTGTCAAAGTAAGTAAAGTAATTCCCCCTACACCTGAAGCAAATTATCTAAAATCAAATTACATTTTAAGTCACTTGTTTCAGACACAGCTCATTTAATTTGACCTTTAAATAAGATCTTAGCTTGGTCATGCTGTTTAAACACCTGACAAGTATGACATTATGACATTTTTGGCATAAAAGAGCATCATAAACCTACTAAATGACTGTCTTTTGGATGTAAATCGTCCCAACTGACTTAGATATCTAGTTTACATTATTCCTCTATTTAGTACCGTGATCCACCCCGCTCCCTAGATCCCACACAACCTCAAACATCCCCAACCGCGCCAACTTCAACCCCCAAATTCTCACCCTCCCTCTCACTCACTTGAAAATATGCTTGGTGTCCAGCGTCGGCAGCCTCACGTTGTTGCCGCCCATCCTGCCGTCCGCGACGCTGTTATGGTTCGCCGCCCCCTTGCTGAGATCCAGCGGTTGCTCCCCCGAAGCGGCCTTGTCCTGGTTGTTATCCTGGAAGGACCTGGCCACGTTCGCCAGGTACCAGTTATGCGACAGGATACTCGGAGGGTAAAAGGGCAGGTGTGGGGCGGGCGTGCCGGGGGAATTTCCGCCCGTGAACGCCGCCGCTAACGCCGCCATCGACGTGACGCTCTCGATCGTCGTCATGTTCGCCGGTGCTACCGGGTGGCGGTGGCGGTGGTGGTTGTTGTTGAGCGAGGGGGTGAGCGATGGCGGTACCTCGTTGTCACTGTGGCTGTCTGACGAATCCGAGTCCGTATGGCGGGGACTCTGCGGGAACACGGAATGTTAAAAAAATGACGAGGAAATGAGACGAATAAATAGCGCTTATCGCGTTATTTTAGACGGCTGGATTCGGAGTGATAACGGGATTTCGCGGCGCGGAGTACCGTCGGATGGGGTTTGGGGGGGAAATGCCGGCCAAGGATTAGGTTTCTGATATGTTTTCGCATTTTGTGCACTTAATTTAAACCAGGTTATACTTGATTAATTAAAAAAGTTGGATTCTATGCTTCTCAGCTGAACTCGCTCTAGCATGATTGGTTGTGAGACTACTATCTATTAACGCTTAGATAACTTTAATTAGCTAATAGTAAGACTTTATGTTTAGCTTATTCAATATAGTTATTACCTAGCCATAATATCATAACACATAAATGACTAGAAAGGATGATTTAAAATTTATCTGATCAGAATTTACCACTCTAGACTCAAAATGATAATTCTAGAGGTTACATTATGTCATAATTATTAACCATCTACGTCGGGAGGTCTTAAAGACAAAACGTATTCAGACTCTGCTTAACCTTGATCCAGTACAGAACACAGTCTCACGTTGCCTCCCTATTTGAAATTACGTATTATTTTTATTCCTCTTCAGCAAAGCTCTACATATAGAAATAAATAGTTACAAAAACTGTAAGGAAGTTTGGAACTAAAGACTGCTTAATTAAACTAAGAAATACAACGGAACAATACTAACAAGGAGAAATAAAAATAAATTGAAACAAATAAAGGAAAATATACCAGTAAAATGAAAAGGGACATTTAAGAAAAAATAGTGAAAGCTAAAGAAGTCAAAACCGAAAAAAAATAAAGAGCAATAGAAATGAAACAAGGGCAACAAACACATGGAGTAGACAAAAAGAAACCAAGTGGAAAATGAAGTGGAAACAGACTGAGCCATGAATAAAACAAAGAGACACATTTCAAACAGGAAAACTTAAAGAATTAATAAGCGAAATAGAAAAGAATAACTTCGACAGTATTGGAAAAGACGAAAAGTTGGAGACAAGACATAACTTCTTTTATAAATGAAGAATAACTGTAGAAAACAGATAAGAAAAAGAATCTCAAAATGTGCTCGATCGAGTTTAAAGGAAATCAACGTAATTTAAGCATAATAAATATACATTTGTCTATACAGAGGCAACAGAAGATGATAAAGTTTTGTATGAACAAGTTGAGATGGAAAAGTCGATAAGAAGCACATAATTACACTGAAAAGGAATAGGTATATAAATGAATTTGATATCCTCTGACAAATGGACAATAAATGAAACTGACTATGTAATAATAGAATTGTCGAAAGTTATTTCGACAGAATTTCCCTCGTCCAATAATGCCGGTTCTTTGAAAAATGATAACGTTTGATTTCGAGAAATATTATTTGTGATAACTGATAACTTTTATCCATTTAAAAAAGCAGCTTAATTTGATTTTCCCCCACTACATTTTATTCGAATGCGTTATGTTACAAAGACGCACTCTGTTAACTTGTCTATACGTATTTGGTGTGGCGCGGAATGGGAAATCGGGTGAACGGTTCAACAATTGCTTCAAAAGTTTTAATCCATTGATAAAGGCCTTTCTAGCGAGTTTTCTCACTGGAAAATGTTCCGTTCAACATTTCTGCAAGGACGCGCATATCAATTCCGACACATTAAATATAATAAAAAAAAAATGATCAACAGAACTTCCCTCGCCCTCGAAGTAATAGTTCAACAAATCCTCCTCCTTTAAAAGATTATAAAATTTGATTTTGCAATTTCCATTTTGTGATAACATCTAGGTAGCTATAAAATAAACACCAGTGGATAATGCGAAATGTATTTAAAGCATATAACCAACGGAAAAAATGTGGATATTCTCAACTGTTCTTATTAGCACGTTCAGATTACAAGTACTAGCAGTTAAAAGAAAATGAAATTTCTTCAACGGACAGAAGATTTTTCCCAAAAATCAGGACGTCAAAGGTAAAAACTCAACACGGATTCATAAATCACACATGGAGGAGCATGTTTTTTTATACAAATTAAAATTATGATTAACGATTCATCATGCTTCCTATAACCTTAAAACGTTTGCAAGATTTCAGAGCATCCAGTTTTACGATATCAAAGTTAAATTGTAAAATATAATTTTGAATTTCTTCCCAAAAATCTGGATATCTACAGTAAAAATTTAACACGGATTCGTAAATCATGCATGCAGGAGTATATAATTTTTTTTTCGGGAGGCAGGAAAGAAAAAAAAAATTGATTAAGGATTTACATGCTTACGATAACCTTAAAACGTTTGCAAGCTTTCAGAGCATCCGGTTTTGTAATTTCAAAGTTAAATTGTAAAATGTTACAGAATTTCGATTTTTTTTCCCAAAAATCTGGATGTCTAGTGTAAAAGCTCAACACGGATTCATAAACCACTAGTGCAGGAGTATGTTGTTTTATAAAATTTAAATAACATTTACTACTGTAAAATTTGGACATTGCATTCCCAAAATTTTCTGGAAACATGCCGTTCCTGATTTAATCAATAAAATAAAGTTCATTAATTTTTTTGAGTCACCTGTATAAAAAAATCTGAAAAATATGAATCAATGATAACTCACAAGTAAAAGCTATTTTGCACATTTCTGGTAGATTTAGCAATCTAACTCGCTACTATGGAAATTTGCAATTTAACACCTTTAAATTTCATAAGTTTTTACATGGTTAATAGGGGCAAAATCAGTTTTATCTCAACAAGTACTAGGGCCGCCCACCCGCCCCCTATTTTCTCAGCGGATATGTGATTTGCCGAAATAAGTTTTATCTTACCAAGTACTAGGCCCGCCCACCCGCCCTTTATTCTCTCAGAAGATAGTATGTACTTGCTAAGATAAGTCTTATTTTAGCAAATGACATATCCTCTGAGAAAATAGGGGCGGGCGGGCGGGGCTAGTCCTTGCTCAGATAAAACTGATTTTGGCGAACGTCATAGCCTCTGAGAAAATAGAGGGCGGGTGGGCGGAGCTAGTACTTGCTAAGGTAAAACTTATGCAAAAATTTCACTAAAGTTAAAAGAAAAGTATGATCACAAATTGTTCCTAACAAAACTGCCCTTCCGTCATATAAAGAGGGTTATGAACAACATATATGTATTTAAAATTTCAATACCATAAGTCTGTTAATAACGGAGATATTACATTCTGAAAATAGATCGAAAATTCCACTCGAAAAACGTAACGACTGGGCTTAAGCAAAAATCTAAAAAAAAAATAAGAAGATACTGATGAATCACAAGTATAGACTGATCATATTTTGCATACTTTAGATAGTATTTATTCGGCAAAATTTTGAGATGACGTCATCAATTTTTTTAGAGGGGATAAACGAATATATTTTGATACAACATCTGCAAGATTTCAAAGCATTCAGTTTGGCAGATTCAAAATTAAATTACAAAATGTTTTATAATTTTGATTTTTTACCAAAAATCTTCACGTTTCGGGTAAAAACTCAACACAAAGTCATAAACTACATGTGTAGACAGACAGACGGAAACGGGAGACCTATTTCTTCGTACTGTAAGGGTCATGAAAGATGAAGAAAACGTAAAATGCTCGGGAAGGAAAAATTAAAAGAATGAGAACAGAGTGCAATTTGGATCACTGTTTGCTAAAGCCTACATAAATGACATTAGAAAATTCAATGACTTGAAAATCTACAAAGAATAAATATCAGCGATTGGAAAAATAAAGCAAAAAATATGCCATATTCCCTTAACTTTTTTCCTACTTTAAAACAATAATTGCTGATGACATGAACAGCATGAGTTTTTTGAAAAGCGTTCAACTGTACAAATTTATTTATACAGGGTGTTATTGAAAGGTACGTACAAAAAAATTGACAGTTCTTCACGAAGTATAGAACTCTGAAAAACTTATCTTTTTTTTGCAATCTAGTCTTAATCATCTAAATAAGTGGTGTATGGAAAATGTCACGTTATAAGCTTTAGTAGAAAAATTTTACCTTCTACTCCGATTTATTATTTCAAGAATTTGTTTATTATTGTGTGTTATTGAGTTTTGGTTATTGTGTATATATATACAGATAGAAAAAAGAACATAATGTTTAAGACCTGTAAAGTTCTTTTAAATAAAAATACAATCACGATGGCCGTTCCCAATTAGTTACTTCTCCTAGCTTCTTGTTGTCTAGGCTTTTGTGTATGTTACATTTAACTAAAGATGGCGCTCTTTGTAATTATAATCAAGAAGACTACTCGATGTTGGTGTTTTTCGTTGGAAAAAAAAGGTCTAACCACTGACTGTATAAGCAATCCAAAGCTTAATATTACATGCTTATTAAGGTAAATCAATTGTTTTAGTCAAACAAGTCGAACGAACTGGAAATTTAGCAAACTTTAAACAAAAGTTCCCGGGGCTGAATCCGAAAAAAGTGAAAAAAGCTGAACAATAAAAAAAAACTACACCAAACTCACTCGGAATCCATATTGCGAACACAAATTATGTGATAAACATAATACTTGTTGAGCTAATTTGTAAAATCTGCCGTTTTTGTACATTTTATTTATAATTTTACAAGTCACTACACCACAAAACCTGTTTACTAGTTATCTAGTGATGATTACAACATTCAATTGTCAAGCACCGTCAAAAGATTCAAAGTAAATTTGTCAAATTACCATTCGTGATACCAGAGCGATCGCAGAACTTGAATACAGCTGCAATACCTAAACTTGCCAAGTTGCCACTCCTACCAATAAATATATGAACATGATTCTAAAACTTCAAAGTGTATTGTTACCGTACCGCACCTCTAATTAAGTTATTGATTACAACTCATGTTATCAAATGTTCATATAAAACAAGATTCCAATGTCAAAAATTCCGTTTGCACTCGCAATGAACCAGTTGAAACGCTTTCCCGTAATTGCAAAAAAATGTAAATATTTTTAACTGTTAAACGAAGTATTCGTTGATTATT